TCTATGATCTTACAGGCTCCCTGCATTCTGTGGCATACCACGTCAAAAACCGGACTAGAACCACATGGCGTATGATGGATCGGCGTAAGCATGGGCATCACTGTATCCCTCTGAGGTTAGGCGTTCCAGGAGACCGTCCATCACTAAGCACCATAGAAGCGGGGAGAGGCAGCTGCCTTGAGGGCATCCCCCCCCCCACTCCCAGGTTCCTACGACAGTCCCCCATGGCTGCACTAACCTTCCTTTCCTTCAATGCCGAACTCACCCATTCGACCACGATAGGCGATGTGCCCCGGTCTTGGAGCGAGTTGCATATGGTCTCAGTTTTTGCATTGTCGAAGGCACCTTCTACATCAAAGAATATTGCCAGTACGACCTCTTTGTACTGAAGGGCCTTCTCTACTTTATGCGTGACACTATGTAAGGCCGTCTCTGTGGACTTGCCCCGCCTATATGCGTGTTGGTTCGTGTGGATTGGGTATCTACTCAACGCCCCATTCACCAGATACCTGTCCACAATCATTTCCATCGCTTTAAACAGAAAGGATGTGAGACTAATAGGCCTAAAAGACTTCGCCGCAGGGTAGTCTTCTTTCCCAGTCTTGAGGATGAAGACCGCCTTGGCTGACCTCCAAGCCTGTGGGACGTAGCCCATCGCCAGACTGGCCCGGAAGACCCTCACCATACATGGCAAGAGAATATCCATGCCCCTCTGCAACAACGACGGGAAAACTCCGTCCGGCCCCGCTGCCTTGTAGGGTTCGAACTCATTCACTGCCTAGGTTACTGCCTTGTCGCCAATGAGCTCCTCGGCCAGGAGCCAATCTGCTTGTGGCATCGGCTCCGCCCTGGTGCCCTCGACGACATGGCCTCCACCTGCAAAGTGAGTTTCCAGAAGAAGTTCTAAACACTCCTCGCTGGAAGTGGTCCAAGTTCCATCTTCCCTCTTTAATGATTCTAATTTCCCCCTTTTGTCGCAGCTTAAGATCTTCATTAATCTGGCTGTCTCCGGCAGGGACTCCAGCTCGCTGCAGTATGCCTTCCAGCCAGATCTCTTGCTATGCCTAAGTTCCTTCTTAAACTCTGTCCTTGCAGTTTTGTAATCGTCCCAAGTGGTCCCTTCCCCTTCCCTGACAGCTCGGTTAAAGACACGCCTGGCCGTCCGGCGGAGACTCTCTAGGGTCTTATTCCACCAGCGGACCTTGCGCTCACCTGCCGCCCTGAGAGGGCAAGCCTCCTCATATGCCGAGACGATACAACTGCTTAGGGTTTCTACCTCGTTATCTAACTGCCTTGTCTAACTGCCTTGTGGAGGTTATTCGTTCACCCTGGTTGCTCGCTTCTACGGAGCTGCCTAGATTACCACGATCTCCCAGTTTGTTGCCCTTGGATTTCGTCGGAGAGTTATCGTTTCCGAATCCGACTTCATCTCGAATGCGATCATCCTGTGATCGGACATCGAGATGCAGTCTGTGACCCTCCATCCAGAGATCCCTTCTGTGATACTTTGAGAAGCCAACGTAATGTCAATCACATCTTTCCGGATGCCGTTAATAAAAGTCGGCTCCTTTCATGACCTGCAGGTCTGTGGTTGCTATATATTCCAGCAACACCGACCCACGGGAATTAACATCCCTGCTGCCCCATACTGTGTGGTGAGCATTTGCATCACACCTAATCATTACAGGCAGACCTTTATTCTTAGCAAAATTGAAAACCCTAAATATGAGTGAAAACTAGTCAAAACTGATCAAAATTTCAAAAACAACAAACAAAACTTCAAAATTTTGTCCAAATATATCATTTTCGTAGTATTTTGAGGCGCTGACCACGATGACATTAGTAAAATTTACCTACGACCTAGATATTTCTCAGAAAATCTACTATTTGCTTTTTTCACATTATACTGCGGATCTTCCTAATATTGTTACAACATGTACGTGTACGTGTGTATACAACATGTGAATACTCAGAAGTATGCAGATGACTTCCAATTATATTTTTCACTTTCTGTTAAGACTTTTGGATTCTTCAGTTAAAAAATTGAATGATGATGTAAATGGTATTGTATCGGTACCTATCTCAGGCACATGGTTTGATCTTAAAAGGTGCGAAAACTGTGCTACTTGTTGTTGGTAAGCATAAAGACTTAATTAGTTAGGACCGTCGGTTCAAAATATCTGTAAATGGAAGTGTCGTAAGTCCATCTGATTGCTGTAAATACTTAGGGGTCTATATGGATGAGAATCTTAGATTTACTAAACATGTTAATTTTTTAATACAAAAATCCTATGCTAAATTACGATCACTCTATATACATAAGGATTATATAACATCGGATATCAAATTAAGATTATTTGACTCTTTAATTTTGAGTAATCTAGCCTACTGTGATACTGTTTATTGGCCTGCCATTCTAAACAAAGATCAGGAGAGCTTACAATAAATACAAAACGCATGTATTAGATTTTCATAAAGTCTGAGCAAATTTGGTCACATTATCACAAAATTTAAACAATTAAGAATGGCTTGTCTAGTATACAAAATTGATAATACGAAGACACCTAAGTATTTATATGATAAACTTCTAAAGGGCAGATATATCAACAGTCATTCCCCGTCACATTGATCTGTATGTATGTCTCCTCACTCTTTCACAGATCTTTTAGTTATAATGCTGTTATCTATAATAAAATACCTCGAGCAATTAAATCTTGCAGTAATATTATCTCTTTTAGGAATTTGGTCAAGTCCAGTATATATGAGAAATGAATCTCATCAAAATTGTTTTCGTCTCTTTTCATGTACATAAATAGATTACAGAACTAGCATTGATTATTATTATTGTTTTAATTGTCTATTCTAATTCAATAGACGGTTAGATGGAAGAGTAACTTGTTGAATCTCCATTATCAATGGAGATAATCTTAATCTTCAATCAATTACCTTTAACTTAACTTAACTTTAACTTTAAGTAAACAATTGTTTGTGTACTGTTGCATATTTCTAATAGTATACAAGCGCCGAAGAGCGGAGCTCACGCTCGAAAATGAAAAGTTAAAGATTTACCCCACACGTACGATTTTATTTTATGTTAATATGTTGAATAATGTACGACTACGGCTAACAGGCGCAAAATGTTAAGTAGCTTAGGATCTAAACGATGAAAATATATATTTTTTTAAATTGTAGGTAATTATGCTGGCTAATCTACCGTAATGGAATATTTTATAAATATACATAAATATACGTCCAAAAATTAAAAAACGGTGACGTATAAAACTAGGGTGACGTATAAAATCTTACCAAAACTTCAAAAATTAATATACTTGAATTTTGCAAATTGCTTTTGGTTTCTGCATATTTACACTATGTGTGTACCAAATTTCAAGTGCCAGCAAAGCTTCGAACAAATTTGGCAAAGTTTCGAGTTTCAGATGCCGATGAATGCATAACACCTTATAGAACAAAAAGTTTTGCTCTTCTGATTTTCGGCTTTAGCGTCATTATTGTATATATATTGAACTATAGTTTTCGAAAGTTGTATCACTTTTTGTTTATAATTAACATTTTTACAGCAACTTAAAAAAATTGGCGTTTTATACCGTTTTTTCAATCTCACGGCTTCGTTATTGCAAATTTCGTAATCGGACCACCGCCATTATGTAGCTATTTTTATTACGAACAAAATCATGTCCTATGCATTTTTTCGTACAAAGTCATCCCGCTGAGTTATTTAAAGAAAAGTACTAAAAAATTTTTTTTCACGATTAAATTGTTAATAACTTTTTTCCTGATAAAATACTTTGTCAGCAAATTAGCCTGTTATTGTACTCATCATTTAAAGTAGACCTGTGTAGTTATTTCCGGGTTATCAAGGTTCGACACACGCCGAAGCTCTACCAACTGGACTATACACAACAACAGAACTAAAGATAGATAAAGGTTCATTGGAAATTGGAACTAAATTAAATTCATCGCCATCCACACTGTGCCGACAACTTGTAGAATACACAGACAAAACAGAGATTCTTGGATCTTACGGACTCGAGACAGGACATGCAAAAGTCTCCGGATTTAAAAACAAAACAAAAATATCACAAGAATGTATTGGATTTGTCGCCACTTGGTCACGAAACATGAATGTTTCTGTCTTGTCATTGTTTTGTCTGCTTGGTCAGAATCCGGCATTAGCTGCTCCGACAACGTACCTTAAGGATGAGGATGACGTTCCGTTGTCCGAGCTTAGAAAGGAATCGAAAAAGTACCATTGTCAGAAAAATTAAACTTGATAATTGCATACGCAATGTCTGTGTCTACAAGTATAATATCACTGTCAGCAGCTACAAAAAAAAATGGATTGACAAGAATAATTAGAAGAGAAATGACACTTTTGAGAATGGTAGTTGTCATGGTCAGAATCTCCAGTTATGTTACGAATATTTATTAACCATACCACCAACCAGAGTGCAATCAGAGAGGGCGTTTTCATTGACCGGATATTCCTTTCCTTTGTTGTTTTATATATTTTTTATATTTAAATAAAAATAATTTCTAATTAATTTTCCATAGAACATTTGTTGCAATGCAACTGTATTGTCTGTTGTATGTATTTTGATTTTGGGGCCATTTTTGAGATATTAGGGACTAGTGCTGCATCTTGAAATTTAGACCCGAAGTGCTTTCTTTCTAACAATACACTTAGGGCAAACTACGAAACAAAAAAAAATAAAATAAAACAGAAATAAATGTCTTATATTAAAGTCAAGGCAAATAATCGTATATGTTTCTTTTTTCTATATCTGATGTCTACAGGTAGTATTATCTAAATCTAATAGTAAAAATTAGTCCCAAAAAATGCGTTCTTTCGTTTGTCACTGGAAAATGACAAGTATTTCGAAACACAATATCTATGTGTTACAATAAAGAGAAGTGGGATATTTGTTTCGTTAAAATGGCAGCCAATATTGGATAATGAGTAAAAAATTATTTTTACAAACCTCTCGCTCGTTGTTACCATAACTAATTCCGAGGTTTGGCATCGCCCGGAGAATGGCCACCAAGGACTGTATCGTATTGCTGTAGACCACCGGTCGATATTGCTTGTGGTCTTCAGGAGTAAACCCACTTTCGTGGATAATTCTGGAACAAAAACATTACGATGAAGGGCACTTTTTTTGATTTGATGAGAATCAGTCAATCAATAGAAGCAAATGCTTTACGAAAAAGTGATATCAAAAAATTTTCCCTTAAATTTCTAAATTAAACATCTATGTATAATGAAGCAAAGAATTCAGGACAATTAATTGTACCGATTCAACAGAATAAAGGGGGGAAATACTCATATATTTTAATCTAGTATGCATATAAACTGAATGTTTTAACCAATTTTTTCACTCTCCATCATGCGACCAGATTTGACCTTTGACAAGGAATATGTTACGTTTAAAAGACTATCGGTGAATCATGTGACCAAGTACATTTAAAGCCAGACATATATTCCAAACTAAAGAGCAAGCAAACGTCAAGTGAGTAATTTTTAAAGAGAAAAAATTATTCTTATGACACAAGTGATAGTGTGGATGCAGCAATACTTGACTGAAGGCTGAAGGTGTGTAGTTACAGTTCATATAGCTGTAGCTCTTCTGATATTAAAATGATCAGAAACTGACCTATATGTGAAAATTAAAGGCATTATTGCCTCAATCTCAACCTCCAGTGATGAACTGTATAATTAGTTGAATTGATTGATTTATTTATTTGTCACCTATAAGAGTCAGGAGTACTAAAAGTCCAATGATAAAAGAAATTGTTTTTCAGGATGTATCATTTCACGTCCTCGCCTTTTTCTTTCAGAAGTTGATGATTTTTTTGTAAATGGAGTAATATTAACCGTATATTCAAATGTTTCAAGATTCATGCTAAAAATTTATTACACTTTAAAAACCTGTTTAAATATGTAGCTACCAATCGAAAATGAGATTTAAACTCTTTATTCAAATATAGACGCAAAATGTCTTCAACATAATAATTATTAATTCTTGGTCTTGATCGATTTATAAAGACTTGTTTTAAAGATAAAATATATTAAATAAAATCTCATCCCCATCCTTATTATCTGAAGAGTTCAACATATTATTGATATTAGCGATGAGCTTAATGGTGATTTTCAAGTCACCGGTATACCGGTAACAGCGACATCTATGGGCGGGGCAGTGTAAAAATACTAGTCAGTCAGTGTCACTGGTCACTGTTTCAGTAACTGCGTCTCATTTCGCTACCACCGCTAGCAAGTAGCAATGTTATTAATTATGTCGAGTATTTGGAGAATAAGTCAGAGGCCATAACAATAAAGAAAAAGAATAACAAATAAACACATTATAGTTAAATCAAAGCCAGCCGCCGTGAAATTTTATACTTAGGGTATTTTAGATAGAAGCTCTTTAACTTGATAAATGTTTTTTCAGAAATATAAAATACATATAATGTGGGCATTGTGTGCGTTATTTTGCGAAAATGATATATTCATTAATTGTAAGTGTTAAATAAATTAATAAATCAATTTTATAAGTCAAACATCAGCTAGGTACGACATTTTATAATAAAATAATATTTATTACATTTAAATTAACTCGAACCAAAAACTCAAACTACTTAAAATAACGCAAGAAGGTAAGAGCAAGACGCACAGCACACGATTACGACCAGCGACCAGCGGAAAAATAAATATTAAAATTAATTATTTTATCACCATCATACACCATATCACCGGCGCGGCAGGCGACTGGCGAGCAGGCAGCACGAGTCGAGTCGGGCATCGTCGGTGACGGCGACATGGCCTGCGACCAGAGTCGCTGTTTTGCCGAGAATTAGGTCGCCTGTAGTAACAGTGGCCATCTAAGGGTACGAACATAGTGGCGCGACGAGGCTTCAGTGTCAGATAGTCTTACTACGAGGCAAAAGACGCGCGCGACAAGGGGTCCATAGTGGCGCGTCAACACGCGGGGCGACTTTTGACGCACTTTTCCTCGGTTCTCTCTCTATGAGTCGGTCGGTGTTAATTTTTTATTACTTTTAACTATGGTGTGTGCACCCCCTGTAACGTAATTTTTGGAAAGGTCTTTTATTCCTCGAACTGCAAACGGCAAAAACGGCAACTCTAAACGGCAAAATTAGTTAATAATTTATATATTCGGTTAGTCTCGGGCGCCAGTTTCCCTATATTTTACGTGGGGGAAACTCCATGTAACCCTTACCCTCGGTTTAGAGTAAAGTGCACAGACGGCTACAGTGAAGAAAGTAAATTCCAGGGGTCAGTTGTATTTCTGAAAGAAGAAGAAAACGCAGAGAGTAGTTTTCTCAGTGTAGTTTTATTTATTTAGAAATTACAAATTCCAACGGGAAATTATTATTTTAATTTATTTTAAATATAAAATTAAACGGGAGTCCTACAAAACGGTATCAGCGTTTTTGCTGGTTCAGAATGTTATCAGTTTACCTCGGTGTTGAAAAAAATACACCTATCAATTTTTACTGGATTTATTCACGAGGAAAATATTAATACTTTGTACAAATACAAATCGTGTCAATCTTAATTTCTACCCACTACGAAATGACTGGAAATATTTACAAGCTAATTAAACAATAATTATATACAATAACGGTGTTAGAGACAAAACTAAAAGTTGTAAATTTCGGTTTTTACAATTTTACTTCTCACCATTGAAAAGAAATATATGTTTATGAACGAAATCAAAAATGAAATATTTATTACTCTACAATAGTAGACGGTTTTAAGTTTAAAAAAAGAGTGATTTTAAACGGTCCTGATAAAGAAATAAATAGTTGTAGATGTAGATTTTTGTCGGTCCCCGCTGATTCTAAAAATAAACCAAAGTTATACGGAATTATTTCGGAATAATTTACACTCAGGTCGGCGGTTAAATATCGGTAATGTTACGCTCAGGTCGGTGGTTAGATAACGGTAATACGGTCTAGCAAGCAAATGCAAAATTAATAAGCGCTAAGCGGTAGCAATAACCAGTGAAGAAAGCTCAGGCGGTACAAGGTGGAAAAATCGGGTGGCGATGGTAAAGGATGGTAAAACGGGATCCGAAGTATCTCGCCTTACAATTCGTACTGTCCTTTAAGTTTTGTACGTCCTGGTGACCGATGTTGTCGGACTCTCAATATACAACGCTTCCCGGTCTGATGGGTATACACGCCGATCAGGAAGAAACGTACATACATTATATGGAACGACCCGGAGATTGGGTATACACGCCGAACCTCTAGGTGTAAGTTCACACCTATTACCCAGCATACATCCTGGTGCAGGACACCGAGCAACGCTGTAGTAAACACGAAGGCTCCGCAAAGGTTGGGTATACACGCCGAACCCTACGGTTGCTCTGTCGTGTGGGTTGAGAAGGACGGTGGAATTTGTGTGCAATGTGTAATTCCACACTTAAAGCGTACAAATCTTTTCGGACTTGTACTCGGTCGGAGAGTACATGGTGCGAAGAAAGCGATGTAGAGCAATATGTAACAATAAATATTCTATGGTAAATGTCTTGTATATGTTAATTGTGAACCTTTATTGTCTGTTAATTCTGTTCAACAAAACCTTTTAACATATCTTCCATGGTTTGATTGAAAAAACCTTGTCATCAAACTCAAGAACTTTTGGAGCTCAAGCTCACAGGCTCGCTTAACGAGGCTGCCATTCCTCGACGCGGACATTTATAGTGCCTAGCAACCACTACTCGCTTCACGAGACATACCACCCGAAGTAGCCTACCCTGTTCGATAGCCCCCTGCAACGAAACAGCGGTAAATTTCAGGATCCTTTTTGAGACCTGCGATACCGTCCGAGACTGACCACCTCTGACGAAGATCCTGTGCGATAGCCTCCTGCATCGACACAGCGATACCCCAGGCTCCTCCAGAGACCTGCGTACCGCCCGAGGTAGCCCAACCTGAGGCGAAGATGCTGTTCGATAGCCCACTGCATCGAACAGCGATACATTTCAAGCTCCTCCAGAGACCTGCATACCATCCGAGGCTGAGAACCTCCGACAAAGACCTTGACTCCGATTGTGCCAGCTCCATCGAGAGACTCGCACCTCGGTACAGGGTACACATATAGGCTCCTACGAGTCGTATAAATCAGACTCTATCGAGATCTGCAAATCCGAGGCAACTTTCCTCGTCTAACCTCTAGGCGGTCACTCGTCGAGGCAACCTTCCTCGTCAAACCCCTACAAGGCATTTTCTTTGTAATCTACGGATTCAAAGCAATAGTACGCACGTCATTGCGGCGGCGTACTCCAAAATTTAAAGAAGTATCCTCTCAGGGCTCCCTCGAGAGATCCATATTAAAGTAGAGTCAGTATTTCTACAAGGCTTCTACAAGACTTTCGGAGCAAAAGAGCATTGTCGTTCGGGGTAAGATGTATCCCTGCAACGCGACATCGATATCCAGTGCTACGAGGATTGGTGCCCTCGAAGGTACAACAAATAAATCAGATCGTGATTCGATGATCAAGACTGAGCTGGACGAGACCTCGTTCCTCACAAACGCTATCTCGGTGCTCCGTGGAGAGTTTGAGGAGCCGAAGGTGGTAGCTCGTAGTAGTACGCAGCACGGCGATGCCACAGTGCCGTACAGGCTGAGGTCCGCGACTACACGAGTTACCGATACCACCTCGAGTATCCCTCAAGACGCCCATGGAGACGAGTAGTCGTTCTCAAGAGTTATCACGAAGTGGGTCACCCACGAATACTCGGGACGAGGTTATACCTACGTACCAACTGGTAGAGTCCGGGGAATCCCATGACCCCAACGACGGTTCGCGGTCCGGCCCCGATAGCGGCCTACCTCCGGTGTTCCGGAACGTGGAGCCGTTGGCGATGGCGATCCACGAAATGGTACCCAGCGGGAACAATGTGCATCTCGTTCGGGTGCCATGCGAAAACCCCTTAGCCGACTATGTCGTAGGTGACGTAGCCGGCTCTTTCCATCTAAGCAATTCTGGTACATCGCTCGTCCACTCTCATGGTTTCCCCCGAACATTCGATCACCGCCTAAGTGGTCCCTATTTAGAAAGTCTAACCCGACACGGCGCTCGACGTAGGGCTCGACCATCGTCATCGAGATCTCCCCCACGAGCTCATGCCCTAGACACCACGTCTGTAGGCCATATCTACCACAGACCACAGTCACTTGAAAATCTGATGCGACTTGGCGTCCTTAGTAACGATCCATTAGAACTCCGGGCGTCTCTATTACGAACCCAGGTCAGGGAAACCAATAATTCAGATCATAATTCACGACATAGCGCTCGACGTGAGGCTCGAAGTTCTGCTTCGACGTCTTCGCGGCGAGCCTAGGTTGCCGAATCCCCACACAATTTTCAAATATTAGGCACAAACGATCATCTTACACGACATGGTGCACAACGTGGGGCTCGAATAGAACTCCCATGTCTCCACCGAGGACCCATGTCGATCAAACACTACGCAATGATCATCTTACACGACATCACCCATATTCATAAAAATGTATTCAGACGGTGAGGACGATATTATTTTGGACAGTTCTGCGGCAAAAGTATTATTACTAAGTAGACGGTGTAGTGTGTACGATCTTAATAAAAAAAGAAACGTATTAAGAGAGAATACCATCAGCATTTCGATGAATTAAAAAAATATCCAGACCGCTTATTTTGAGTAAAAATGCCTGAATCGATTTTGTCATTTTTCACAGTTTTTCAAACACAGTGAAAGTAGATTTCCTTCAAGTACTACATATTAAAAAAAAATGAATCGGAAAATGGAGTCTAAAATAAGAGTTTCAAATTGGAACGCAATGTATACATAAAATATAGGAACAGATCAGATTTGGAAGTATATTATGCTGATTATTTGTTAACATTTTGTTTGACTCCTTGCAAAATCACAAATAAATGTAAGAAAATAAACTTTTGATGCAAAATTGAAAAAGTTAAGTTAAGAAAATTACAAGCTACATGCAAAAGTGTGATCAATTTAAGTTTTGTGCAGGACACATTATTTTTTTTATCGTTTTATGTAGACGATATCCCATGTCTCTCCACTGGTTAGTAATTTTGTAATACATCAAATTTTATTTGGATTTCTTTCTCGGTTTGGAACGAATAAAATTGATATTTCTTTACACACAAGGTACGTACGCAACAAATTATCTTTTACTTTGTAAAGACATGTCACTCCTTGAAGTATGCTTATTTAAAACTTGCATCGCCCTATTTTACTAAACTCTACATATTGACATCCGCTCACAAATAAAAAAGTACGAAGAGTAAATATTTCTTTCAAATACAAATGAAATTTTATACCTATTCATCGAAATTCAAAAGTTACCTAATCTCATAATTTATCTAGAATACACCCATTACAATGATTAGGATGGCATTGGTTCCAAGTAGTAGGTATTTCTTCGTTAAATAAAAGATATTAATTGTACCAATACAATCAATATATTAAAATCTGATAGTTCCGTCTGCGTGCACGATCGACCCGAAAAAGAGCCGATTTGCAGTGGAGTCAGCTCCTCCGAGGTGCCGCGTAGCGGCACCCGGGGGGGGGGGGGCAGAGGGCCCCCCCACGTTCGCCACGTCGCTTAGGGGTATTCCGGTGGAGGTCCTTCCGCTCCTTCCTACCTAAAATCCGGTTCTCCCGGAACCCTACGGGGGCGTGGCCCAATTTTTGTGTGAAACGCATGAGTCCGACACGCCTACTTTCCGATGAAACCTGACGATCGCCTCGCCGGTTTCCTCTATTTAGTTATTTTGCCCATTTTACCTACGTTATTTATGTAAAGCCGCGCGGATAATACTCATATTTATCGACCGGAT